TCTCTTTCTCTCTCTCCTTCCCCCTTCTCTCTCTCTCTCTCTCGTGTGCTAGTGTATGTGTGTCGAAACGCAAGGGTGCTCGTACACACGTACGTAACATATACATACGAACGACTCACGTGTACTTGCGTCACTGGGTTTGACCGGACTGCACGTATGCGCTCGCGCGTTCGCGTCCGTTGTATGTGCGTATGTGTGTATATATATGCGCGCATATAGGTGAGTCCCGGGATTAATCCGGGATTATTGGTCGTGTGTGCGCCGCCCGCCGTCCAAATCCAAAATCCAACGCACACAACTCAGCTAATCCTAACCCCCCTCCCTCCCGCCTTCACCTCGCGCTTCCCTCGCTCGACGTATCCTGTGTGCGCTTCACCGACAGCGCCCGAGCGTTGTCTACAGGGTGTACCTGGAAGTACGCGTTCGTCAGCCTGGCGAATTCCTGCTATCCGATTAAAGCGCCGACTTTTAGCACCATTTCGATCTGGTTTGGCAGGGTGTGTTTTTTTCCGAAAATCTTTCTAAATTTTGTATAGAATCGATAAAATCTCTCTCTCTCTCTCTCTCTCTCTCTCTTTCCCCGTTCTTCTCTCTGTCTTTTTCTCTCTCGATAAGTTGTCGGCAAGATGTAAGCTTAGAGAGAACACACAGAAGTGCCAAACAGCGGCGATTCAAGGGGATATTACTTTAGTGAAACCGACAGTTTATATAGAACGAGTTTGTCGAAAATCAAAAGTTCGTCGAACAAATTTCCACATTATTTGTTTATCCATTATTTAGAATAAATGTTTCGGGCAGTTTTTTAAATAAATTTCTTGAATTTCTCTTTGTCGCGTTGAAGTAGCAATTTTGATCAAATTGAGAGAGTTTATTCAAAATTGAGCTCAAAGAGCGGATTAAAATGCAAAAGAGACCGTATGCGATATATATATATATATATATATATAATACAGTGACATATATTTTCTATACTTTGAGAAAATGGTTATACACACTTCGCCGATGTTCTTTGACTTGAGAGTAAGACTTTGTTATGTCTAAAAATCTCCCGCTCGTTATAAAGTAGTAAGAACTCAGACGTAAGAACAGTAGGAACAGGAATATATACGCGCGTATACTACATGTGTATATATATATATATATATGAGAAATATCCATCCGCAATATGACCCACGATTGCTTTCCGCGAGTTATGATATCGATTTTGCCTTTGGCTTAACGTGTGGTCAGGTTGAAAGCTAAAACATATACGGGGAGTCTCTTTTGAGAAAACTATTCTCGAATTGTGAAAGAAGATAACCGATTTTTTATGTGTTTTGCTACACCGATTTGCATTATATTATTAGAGAATATCAATCACAATATTTATAATAACATAAAACCGTGAGATTTTCTTATCTATCTTTCTTTCGTTTGTTTCGCACACATTTTCAAACACTGTTAAATGTTCAATTTCGCCGTGTATTTTTGCATGTACATCCTATCTGCAAAAATATTTCTCGATGCTTTGTGATCGGACACGCGCTCGCATCCGGATTAAAGAAAAAAAAGACCATTTTCATGATTTTTTGCAAATCCAGTTTAAAAAGTTATATAAATTTGTGTAAAAAAAAAAATATATGTTTGTTAAATATTTTCGACATTGCGTTTATATTATTATCTGTATTTTTGAATGTATTTTCTTCGTTGTATTCTTCTAAATAGAAAAGTAATTTTGAGCATTAAAACAAAGTTAAGCCGTTTTTTACACATAAATAATTGTTTCGATTTGTTTTGTGATGGACGCACAGAAAATAGGGTATGCGTTTGGATCAAAATAACGCAACATTTATACAAAAATCCGGCACGAAAATTTATGACACGCCGAACGCTCGTGTTGTAAGTGTTCTCTCCACTTGAAAGTGTGAACATAGCTTCCGATTGTGTGTTCAGACTCGAGTTCAGAGATCGCTTTTGTGCCGATGAACATCAAGATTTTTATACTCTCTGTCACTTCGTCCTTTGACGAGAACGAGAGAACGCAATTTAAAGACGATCCACCATCTAACAAAAGCCCGTTATCTTCTGAGGGGAGGGAATATCGCGTTAAATGGCGTAACGAGACCGATCGTATGGCGCAAGACGCCATGGTGGATGTTCGCAGGTCGCCTAGCCGCATAGCCAGGGATTCGAATTTAATCCGGATTAGTTCGTAAGGGTCACAATATCCTCCCCTCCGGCTGCACCTCGCGCCGTTGCCGCCGCCTTCCTTCCCTCTTGCCGTCTCACCGTGCACACGGATGCGCGCATATAGACGTCCAGGTAAATCCGTACGGAACACACGCGGACGATTATCCTAATTCCGAGCTGACGCTTACGGCTCTCAGACTAAAAGGGAACAAACAATCTCGTCTTTCTTCAGTTCACCTTTGTGTGATACACGCCGATGTGAAAATCAAGTTCTTTTTTTTTGTGAGAAAAAGCGAGACGTTGACTTATTCTCGAATACATGTGTACTTTAAGCTTCTTCAGTTTTGGGACGCGTATTTTTCACTCTGTGTACACACACACACACACACACACGTCGCTCGATCGCATCAGGAACGAACGTGGAATTAATAAACATCCACATTGTGCAAGATACATTTTTATTTTATTGCACTTTCAATAGTGTTTGTTATATTGTTCTACTCGGCATTTTCTTTCAACTCGAATCTTTATTGGGTAACTCACGAGGTGCGAAACAAGTAGGTCGCGCTTTTGGGAATTCGAAGGATTTAAAATACCACCGGGGTCGAAAAGAAAGGCGGAGATAAGAACCGGGAAGAGACAGAAAAAGGATCCCGTCCGCGGGATGGGAAAGGATTTAAGCGTGACGCACGGAGATTTAAGGAGGATTCTCAAAATCCGTAGATTTAGGAAGTGCGTGCTTCTGTCCACCCGCATCCCCTATCGCGTCGCGCCACCCTTCTCTCTCTCCCTCTCTCTCTCTCTCTCTTCCCTTTTCCGTTCGTGGAACGACGCTGGAAAAGCAAATATGTACTCTTGCTTCTCTCTCTGCATTCTTGCATGGTCCTCGCATCTCGTCACGGATCGACAATCTTCTCTTAAGAATTCCTAAACGGATTTCTCGACGAAGTTAGTCTTCTCTGAATCATAAAAGAAACGAACGCCGCCCGTTTCGGCAACGTGTCGTGACGCTACCGTATTTATTTTGATTTCTTTCTTTCCGCGGGAATATATTTCGGGATGGGGAAAAGCAAACAATGGATGAAATATATAGAGAAAGGCACACAAGTTTTGCGACACAACGCGCAACACAAATGACAGATTAGGCGAAGATACGCGTAACCGCGAATTCAATTATGATCGTCCCTTCGGCTTTATTCCCTGCGCGCGCGCGGGAATAAAGCCGAACCGGCTCTCCCCTCGCTTTGGTTGAAACTTCTCGTCCATTTTGCGGGAAAAGTGGAATACGTGAAAAGGAGGATACAATATGTACACGCCGTTTCGTGTTTGATACGTCTGTTATAAAATAAATATGCGCGCGCGTCGTAAAGAGCGGTTTGTTTTTCGAAGGAAATAAATGGTTACGGTTTATTGAATTTAGCTATATGTGGGACGAACTGAGTTGGTTTTTAGACAAAACTTCTCTACCGTTACACAATACCGATCGTAATTCAGTTATCACATCGTAATTTCGATAATTGAAGATAATTGAAAATAATCGTAGAAATTGATTTCGAGAGGAAATCCGACGTTTCTCTCGTTTTCGAGGGATATTAATAAATTGTTATTATCCGATACGTTGTGTGTGATTGTCAAAACATAATTGTGTAAATAAATTTGTCGTGACGTTTGTAAGGACACTTTTATAATTCTGTCTCGCGCGCGCGCGCGTTACCTTTAACCTTTAAATATTTAACTTTTTATCGATTTTGCTGAACGCGATGAAAAGCGTTCGCATATCCATTCATGCGCTTTTTAATTTGCACTATAAAACGGACGCGTACAAATTGTTTCCACCGCATTATCGGGGATCAAGGAAATTCCGCCGATAGTCTATCTCGTTTACGAGCTTTAACGATCCCTCTCGCGCGACCTCCATCGGGTATATACGTCTTCGTCATTCGAAACGGAAACAGACTTTATGCGCGACATTGAGTTGTTTCTGAACTGCGCGTTATAGAAATAACGAAACACATTTTTTTACATTCTTCGCATATTTTTATAATTTATTATTTCTAGACACATACAACAATTCTTAGTAGAAAAATGTCATTAACAAAGTATTTCACACTTTATTGTCATTCCGATCACACCGTATACCGCTATTTGCAATAAAAAAAATTGATAAAAATGCGTGTTCAGTTTTACACTCTGGATTTTGTTACTTTTTATTCGAGATAAACTTTAATCAAGAAATTCCGTTCGCAATTGTCGTTTTTTCTCTCACTTAGTTTCTTGTATTTATTGCACCAAAAGTCATATCGACCTTCGCCGGACGTATGACGGTGACGACGATTAATGCCACTTCCGTTCGACCAAGTACATTAACGGACGTGACACATCAATGCATCGTTACCACATTTTCCTTGCAACTGTCACTCCGGTAATCCCACCCCGAGTTTTAGCGCCGTATAAAGACGCCAAAGCTGTTTTCACACACAGGTCCCCGTCTCCCGTTAAAGGGTTAAAACTTAATTTGTCCGATCGATTTGCGGTCGCCAGAAAACGCGATTGTCAAATTGTCCAGAAACGCAAACCGAGGAGAGATAATGAGCAGAGTGTGTGAACTCGTGGGAACAAAACAAAGATTGAGAAAATGTAACTAATGTAAAACATATCGTATAAACATTTGAGAAAATATAAACGATCTCGGAGACAAGTGTTGTAATTATATGCAAAGTGCAAGAGACGCATGTTCCGTTGGAGATTAATGCGATTGCAAGTTCTGCCTCTATTTCAGAGAAATATGCTTGTGCGCACGTGTTTCTCTTTGGAGGTGAGAGACAACTTACCTGTGCTGGAGGCGGATTTGCTGAGATCAAAGCCCTCCTGCTTCGGACTGGCGCTGATTTCTTGCTTCGGATGCTGATTGTGCGCGGAAAACGGTGTCTGGGGTGCGCTGAGAGGTGTCTGCGACTGTAGCGGGTGCACCGAAGGGGGCTGTGGTGTGTTCTGCGGCTGAGACTGCTGGGACTGAGGACTCCTCGGCAGTGAGGACACGCTGCTCGGTCTTGATGGTGGCGAGGCCTTGTGTGTCAACGCCAACGCTTGACTCTGTAATTGTGGATTTAGCACATGATCAAGCTCATTTACTCTCCGCGATGAGATTTCGAACAAAATCTATAATAATATTTGCGTATATCGTATCAGTATTCATCAGTAGATATTGATGTCGATATTACGAGAGAAAGAGAGAGAGAGAAAAAATACAGAAAAAATGAAAAAATAATACACATATATATTACATAATTATATAAAGAGAAAGAGAGAGAAAGATAATAAATACAAAGCGAAGTTTTAATATCACGAAGCACGTGTGACTTGCATATATATATATATATATGTATATATATATGCGTATAGTGACAGATTACTTTTCTGCAATTCTTCTATGCGCCATCTTCAGTGAAGTTTGCAGAGCAAAAATTGTTTTCCGCGTACGAGAACGCATTATGTAAATTATTTTGATGCTTATTTCATCGCTCGTTTGTGCGTAATCCCACCTGAGTGCGGTAACTGCCGCGGGGTAATATAAATCCTACGCTCTCCTTAATCTCTGAAGACAAAATTCCCCGGCATATTCTGCTTCCGACAGCCGCGTTTTTTTTTTTTTTTTTTTTTTCTAAACATTTCCGCAGAAAAGCGACTCTTAATGCGAAAAGCGATAGCGTCATGAACAATTAATGTTTCGCGTGTGTTGTGTGCATTTCTTCAACTCTTAAAATAATAATACCGAGAATTACTCGGCAACACAAATAATAAATTTCCATCAGATTTTTTATAATTGTAATGTGTTCTAAAAGAATTAATTAATTTGTGTAGCAAACAATCCTTTCAACCTTTTCTCCCTCTCTCTCTCTCTTTTGTTTTTTTATAACAGTAATTTTTGCATATAATATTCACGAGAGAAGTAATCGTCGACAACAATTCGTTTTTTTTCGAAATCAAGCGCAAATTAAGTACGCGCTATTGGCACAGTAATGTAGCGATTAAAAAAGCCTTCGGCGTCAATTCACGGGTGGGAGCGTCGCCTAAACGCGGTCGAATCTGCGACGTTTCGGTCTGGCCCGAACGAGCCGGATGATCTAAGCGTCGTCGCCGATGAAATCTGAGCACGTGCTCAATTCCCCGCAGCGGCCAGGCTAAGGCATAAGCGCGGACTTAGATTTATGTATGAGTGAACTGAACTTAACACTAACGGCTAAGCCGTCCACGGTGTCAACTGGGGTCAACTGGGCCCAGAATGCGACAATCCTACACCACCGTCGCTGCTGATTCCGCCGCCGCCGCCGCCACCGCCGCCGCCGCCGGCTGCCGATGTGCGAAATGCACCGCGGCGCGATGGTTTTCGTCGTCTGGAAACTGGATCGGATCGTCGATGACGCCTCCGTGGAATATATATATACACGAGCGTAAGCGAAAGAAAACGAGCCGAGATGCGAGGCGGCGGCCGTTTAACCCTTCGTGATCCTTCGCGGCTTCCTGCCGCGTTCGTGTTCGCTCGCAATCAGCGTTTTTTCGCGAATAATTTAACCTCGTTATTTAATTACGAAATTACAGAATTTTATCAGCTGGTGTACACTCGCGTTCGCTCGCGCGCTATAGCGGGCAGCCTTGAATAATATATACCGACAATGACCAGGATTATAGTAATTGTCTCTTGTGTGCGCGAGATAACAATCTTAATTCTTATCCAAACAGATTGCGTAGCGCATTCGTTATTTTGTATTTAAATTATCTCCTTCATGAGTAACTGGATCCTGAACTCACAGCTTTTTCTTTTAATTGCGTCGGGAAATATATGTTTTCGAATATACTTTTTCTGTATAAATCTTTGTACGTGAGTCTAAGTTAAAAGAGAAACGACCGGTTTTTAATAATCTGTACGCGACGCGCTTTGCCGATCTAACGATCGAAGGATCGGTCGGCGATTTTTTCACTTGCCTGGACTGTACCGGGGGTACCGGCTACTGTTTCGGGAGCTGCTTCGAGGTATGCACTCGCAAAAAACACGTCAGACCGCTGAAGACCCGGGTCTGGAACGGGAGCGAGAAGAAGATGAAAGAGGAGGAAAGGAGAAGAGGCAGCGAAAGAGGAAGAACGGGATGTCCGAAGGTGGCGAAGATAAGCGAGAAAGAGACGGACGAAAAGGCGGGCCACAGCCGTCGGTGACGGAAGAGAGACGAGCGCAGTGACGGGGGCCCCGAGGGTCCGCCTGAATTGGACGAGGACGACGAGAGTCCCCTCGGCTCGTTTCCACGCGAGGAATGAAGATGAACGCCGGCAGGGCCGAAAGCGGGAGCGTGTAAGAAGGGGCAACAGGTGGATGGGGTTAGCGGCTTATCCGGCTAACGCCCCAAGTGATATCGCGGTAACTCCGCTGTGACGTGCGAGGGGTTACGACGCTCTTGTCGTAAAATCAGGAATTTCGGTTCGTTCATCGATCCGGCTCTCGCCGCTTCGCGCGCATGAAAATGCGCGCTTGGCCTTTCCGACCGAATCCGAAGATGCTGCCTCCGTATAGACCGCGAGATCCAGAAGTTTCTCTCTCCCGAGAACGTTGTATTCGCGAAATATTCGCTCGCGCGATTATCGAGCGAATGAAAATTGACGACCTCGTACATTTGCAACTCGCGGATGTTTGTTTTAATTAATTTTCGAACGATAACGTTAGATGTGTCATCGTCAAGTTTTTTTAACTGGATGTTGTGCGAGCGACTGAAATGTTTAATCGATAAAAAAGAAGCTAAGAAATAAAACGCGTAAAAATATTATTCTAATGTAAGCGCACGTGTGATTTTTCCGATGCTGCTAATAATTTCTGCACTTTCGAATTGCCAATCTCAATACAAACAATTGATAAAGTATTGTCAAAATAATTTAAAACACAGTTTATTGTATATTTTTTACAGCCATCACTACCGCGATGCGCGTTGTCGACGTTATCTTTATCTCGCGCTGCGAGAGAGACGGGCGAAGTTTCTGCTCGTCCGATCTCTCGAACGAGCGATTCGTGCAAATTCGCATGAACGTGTTTCACCGTGTCGTGTCTGAAATCGCGTGGACCGTGGGGAGACAGTAAAAATGGAATGGTAAATAATTAACCAGCGGTGCGACGCGCACGCCGGGCTCGGGCCGTTTATCGACGGATCAGTTTATCTACCGGGTGTAACGGAGATACGCAGCGGCGTTTCCTGCTAGTGTATGTTTCCCGTTAACGCGATAACCTTAATCGTTGACCAAGCGGCAGGATCCTCTCCGTATTCCCTCAGGGACGTTGAGGCGTTGTTTGAAATTCCGCACAAGTTAAACTGCGGATCAAGCTAACGCTGTCTCGCACAACGAGCTTACGTAAGGCCCCGAATCGCGATGACGGGGTCTTTTAATGTTCGGCCAATTGAACGCGTGGTCCTTTTCGGAGTATATATATCTTACGTCAGCTGCCAGAGTCCGCGCAACGTCGTTCCTCTTTGCGAGAGTTAATTCTACTCATCAAAAAAATCCGCGACCCCTTCGCACGAATAGATCCTACTCTCTCTCGCTCATCTCGCCGTCGTGGTTTCTGCGGCGGAGTTTGACGCGCGTAAATTACCGAAGCGCTCGTCTCTCGCTCTCGTCTTTATTAATTCTTCGAATGCCGCGTTAACCCCACGCGCCACGTCAGGAAAAACTGGCGCTCCGCGCGCCAGTTCGATTTGTTTCGCGCTTTTACAGCTGTACTTTTCGAAAACGGTCGATGCGATTTTTAATTTTTTTTTTTTTTTTTCTTACGAAATTCTTACAATGTCTTCTCGGATTGTGACCGCACAGATAACAACGTATTTACAGCGTTGTGTGTATTAATAACAATTCACAAATCTATTTAACCAAAATCAAAACGAGATCAGTTATCTGTTTTCATTGCGCTCGATAATTTCGCTATCTTTCGACGATCATCGCGCGAAACGGAATTAAATGTGGGCCACATTAATCTGCGACATTCTAATCGCTCTTATCAAAATATCAAACCGCGCCGCGATACAACCGTGCGATAATTGGTTACCTCTTTGTGACAGAGATAATCCGCAGATTGATGCATTCGCGATCGCGTTACGTAAATTGTCGCCGACCGTAACGTCAGATATCCGCCGTTCTTAAGTGCAAAACATGGTAAGAGCGAAAGATTAGAAAGCCACAGATACAATCTTGTCGCCGGGCAATGATCACCGATTTCGGTGGATTTGGACTTGGAGAAAGCCGCGAGGATACTACAAATTTACAATTCAATTGGCAATATGTGTGTGAACTTGCTTTAATATTCTCCAATATTCGATCGGAAAGAGAGTTATTTCGATTTGCGAACGCGTCGTGCAAGTTTACGTAGTGGGAAACGAAATATTTTGAAAAAACACACTACGCGCGTACAATTTTTTTTTTTTTTTTTTTTAAGTAAAAGGAGGAAATCTCTCTCTCTCTCTCTTTCTCTATCTCTGTTAAAGTTTTAAAGTTTACTTTATACAGGAAGTTTCAACTTTGTGACACAACTAGTAAAGTGCAAAAGTAAATTATGAATTATATATTTGGATTATATCAGAAATGTCATGTACCATTTAAAAAAAATTCGTAATATTAAGTTGTTTAATTAATTAAATGTGAAGTAAATGAGCACGTGGGAAGCGACCATCCGGATTCCGTAGGCGTGGATAAAATATGAATTTCAGTTGCAAAGAAAAAATGGGGCTTACCTCGTGCAATCTCTTAGCAATGGGAAGAGCGAAGTAACCCAGCGAGTGACGTGGCACGGCTTCTCGCTATCAGCTGATATTTGTTTTGATTTTTTGAAAATCACACGATGATTTTTTTTTTTTTTATTTAGTTTTACACACGCCTACAAAGCGCCGAATCGTCGCTTCTCACTTGCTCGCGTAAAATTAATCAATAAATTGTTGCAAATTTTGCAAAATGGTACATTTGACTTTTTGGTTTCAAACGACTACTCGCCAAAGTCCACCTTCGCACTTCGGCCGTGCGTCAAAAAGTTTCAGACATTCCTCACAATATTGACGGGAAAAACAAAAGACCGCACGGCATAAAAAGGTAACATAAAAGAGCGCGGAAAGAGGACCGCGAGCTCTACCTGCGTTTGATATATCGGCTTCGGTGGCCGGATAGATGGATTACAATCATTCCGGGAGCTGGGGTGGTCAAATACCGTGACCATGCGTGCTTCAAACGTGCACGCACACCTACACGAACCGACGCACTTTCGAGTACACACGTGGCGCCCGTACGTGCAGCGTTGCAAGGACGTGTTTTCAAGTATCAGAATGCAAGAGCCGCGTCGCGGCAGCATAAAAATTTTTAGATCGCGAGCTTTTTTTTTCAAATGGTATTTTTTTGTTTTTATTTATTTTTTTTTTCAACATCGACTAGCTTGCGCGCGGCTTAACGTTTGTGTAACGTGTATTAATTCGATTCAAAACTTCGTTTTGCCTCTTCGCGCTGGATCGACGTATCGATGGCGACAGAGGAAATTTCGTTCAACCTAAAATTCTATACGTAGTTTAAAGATTTTTTGTTTTTTTTTTTTTTTTGTTTCAGTCTTCACGCTATTTTGTCCTGTTTATTGTTACGTTCGTAATTGCTATTATTTCTGCGTATTAGTTTTGTTCCTTTGACGTATAATTTGAGCGGTGAGAATTACGAAAAGTGGATTTACATTTTTTTGCGTATCCTGTAATTCAATTCAATGTCCTTCCGCGGAAACAAGCTACGAAGATGAGTAATCGTATGTTAAAAGCCTCACGTAATTCGGAATAACATCCATATTATGGGATTAATCCCAGTCTCAGACTTCTTTTTTGAAATACATCTGTGCGGACAATGCGTCTCTGAATGCACGCAATTTGTTTTGTGTAGGACGTGTCCTCTTCTTTTAAGACATTGTTACGATTTTGCTGTGCACGTCGGCGAAATGTGTAACTGTGAAATTTGTAAAAACGATTCGCTTCGACATGGTTTACGATGAAATATAAAAGCGCGTTTTTTTCAATACATAATACATGTTGAGTCTTACTACTGTAACACAACGTAACACAACGGCAATGCCATTATCATTATTTTTTCACATTACTCGTAGGATATATCAAGTCGACACGTCTGTTCTTCTTGTAATATAAGATACGGGAAGAATAGAGAATATATATATATTCAATTTATTTAAGTTATTAATTAACAGAGATAAAAAAAAGGCGTTGCATTTACGTTAGTCCCAGTCAGATTTGATTATTTGTTATCGTATACTTCGGGCGAAGCGTGTATTTTGCGAATTACGTATTCGCGCGATAGTCGCTGTTTTCGTCGGTATAATATTTTCGATATATAGTCAGTCAAAGGCGACCGTGGATCGAGAGATCGGAGCGGTCAATGGAGACATGCGGTCTTATTCCGTTGAATGCCAGAACATGAACATGGTCGTGGCACAGGAAGAAGGCAGGGGCACATCCGTATCGTGGTCAGAACCCGTGACCCCCCGATACGTACACGTGCAAACGTACGCGCGTTCGTCCGCACAGCGCGCAGCGCACACACACGCGAACCGCGGCTTTGCCGGAGGATTATCCCCCGCCCTTCGGTGCCCTCGGTTTTCATTGTGAGATCGCGAGAAGCGTCGAAACGTATACGTGTCAGATCTGAATTCGAGTTCGCGAGAAATTTTGATACAACCCCGGGATCGGAATTGTTTAAATCCGCGCGAGCGCCCGTAAAACGCCGCGCGCTCGAATGAATAATTATTTCCGTCTTAAGCGATTACATCTATGCGATCGCAATCGGCGATCACAAGTTGGTTTTTTTATTTTTTTATTTTGTTTTTGTTTTTATTTTTAACTTTCGATATCGCAGGCACGTATGTGTTTTTTTTGTGTGTGTTAGTGTTCGTTCTGCGTTTTGTCGTTTTGATCATCGAGACGCGAGAACGCACACAGCTAACGACAACAAAGACCGGTCGAAATCTCCGGTTGGGAAACTCTTTATTTTTTGTAAATATAATTTTCCTTTAATCTTTCTTAAGAGCATGCGCTGCGACGTAAAATCGAGTAAACCTCGCTGACTTATTTTAGATGCCGGGATAATCGCACGTTACACGTGGAGTGACCGGGCGCTTTGAGATGCGAAAGAATGTGCCAAATTGATGACGAGGAATTAAGCGGACTGAAAGCGCGTCCAGAGAGAGGGGCGCAAGAAGCGGTAGGGTGGCCAATTGGCTGTGTAATGTCAGAAAGGGGTTGCTTTTCTCGCCCCTCGTGCTCGCTTACACCGAATATATAGACGCTGCGTTATTTTTATAAGTTCGACAGACCGAACGTCGAAAAACACGACGCTAGACACGCTAATTCACGACGTAAACGATCTCGGTAACAATCTTGTATATATTCTAACGACAAATATTTAAATTTTTAAATATGTACATAATTATATATAGGATTATATATATATAGATAATGAATTTCGACATACGGATTTGAGTCGCACTAATGACTTTGCACACATATCAAACATGTTTCCAGAGGCTTGTATTAAAATAAATTTTATTTCACAAAATCTAAAATAAAATTATAATTTAATTATTTATAATCTCAAATAAAACTATATACACTATGTAGTATATTCTGAAAAAAAAACATTCTATTTAATTATCTTCAGTTTCAATATTATTTTTTAAAACTAAAACAATTATATACTTTTATAAATTTTTAATGTATGTACATATTATATTATTATTATTATTATGATATTTGTTTTTACTCAAAATTTTATAAAAAATTGAATTTGTTTTTCCGAGACGTAACACGAATGACAAATAATATCAAACAATCTCTGTGAAAAAAAAAAGATTTTGTTCTGGGAGAAAAAAAGAATTAATGTACCTGTACTTGATCCGTTTTTGTGTTAGCAGCCATCCATGCCTCTACGAAAGTGTCCATTGCGCTCTGAAAATCCATTCCCTTCTGGGGCCTCAATAATTCTCCTGGGCCTCGGAAGTCGCCGCCATTCGTAACATATCGCTGTCGAATTTTCACAAAGTCATGTTGTCAACATCCGCGCTTTTCGAAAAACGAGTCGAGAGTCGAATGCAATTTAAAAATTTCGACGTTCGTTTCTCTTAAGATCAAATGTCAATGTTTTCTCGTCTCTTTCGGATCATCCGAAGCACCGTGTGTGTGTGTGTGTTTGTGTGCGTTTAAATATCGACAATATCGCGTAACAATTACATAAAATTCACGATCGAAATCACAGACGTTGTTGAATATAATTTTCGCGCGTGAACTATTCGGTGTTGAATGTATATATATATATATATATATATATGTATATAATGTAGGAGGTGCTATTATATTTCTCTTAATTCCTAAACTTCCGCTAATGATTAAACGTGGGTGATCATCTTTATTTTATTTTTATTTTTTTTCTTATCTCTACACCGAAACCAAGTTACACAATCGCTACGATCTTGCTCTCTAAGTGCTATTTGGTATATATGCGTGAAATCTTAAATACAATTAAAAACCCGCACGTGCTTTTCTGACTAGACTAGCGGAAAATCACACACATGTCCGCGATTACTGATTACGGTAAGTGTATTGTCCGTAGAAAAACTCGGAGTAAATAGAGCGATCTACGGTCTCGTCCCATTCGTCCGATCAACGCACCCGTGTCGTCGTCTCTGTCACGGAATATCACGTACCACTATTTCCGAGCACTATACATCAAGTTTATCGATCACAGAGTCTGATCACCGCTGTCAATCATCTCTCTGATAAAATCGTAACACACTGGTGGAAGCGTGAAGATTTTGTTCGTCTCTGGCCATCGGAGAACATGTGTTTCTCGAGCCCTTCAAGATGCTATTTAAAAATTTCGATCGATCTGTCTTTTGCCGGTCGTTCTCGGTCGTGCAAAACTCTTCTAGAGTTGATCTGAATCGCGAATCGCGCGTCCTCTTTTGTTTTTTGTTACGCTTCTACGGACAGCACCGAGTGAAATGTCATTCGCGCCACCGACGACGACGACGACGACGAGGAGGAGGACGAGAGAGTCTGATACGAGAACGGCACACGTTCGTATGGGACGGCGTTCGAGCCGCGACTGTGCGCGTTCAGGCGTCGCGGCGCTCGATCTGCTGCCCCTACGACGCCCTTCCTTCTCGAGCGCGCCGTCGGTATCAACCCCACCACGCCGTATCTCGCCGCTGCCGCCACCACCAGCACCACCACCACCATCTAGCACCGTGACACCGTCGTCGTGTCTACCGAACATCGGCGGCGAGTGCCTCCTCTGGTCCTCACTCTCAGCCCGATTCACCCTCTCGCCGATTCCGCCGGAACCACCATCGTCTTCCTCCACGCTTCTCGCGTTTTCTCCTCTTATCCTCCCCTGATTCCGCTCAGAAGTTTCCTCGCTCCGGATAAGGAGCGTCGTCGTCGTCCCTCTCTCGCCGTTTTACCGCCTTTCTCTTTCTTATTTTTCTTTCTTCTCGTCTCTAAATACACATATCGTCGATAACATTCCTCTATTTTTGTCTCTCTCGCACATCACATTTTCCAAAATCTAAATGTGCGCTTCTTTCTCCGTTTTATCTCTTTTTTGTTTTTTTACACTTTTTTAATTCTGATGTTACGAAGCAACTACCTACTTATCGGTTTTTCTCTGCTTTTTATCTAGATTTTTTTTATAACATATGTATCACATTGATATTCTTTCTCTCTCTCTCTCTCTCTTTCTTTTTGTCATAAATAGAACGTGATTAAAATAATAATGCGCTTGCGTGCGAGATTATCTCTCTTTTTTTCAATCACAGATACACATATTGTATTATAATCTCGCGCACACAACGAACTCGTTAATCGTATCGTGTACTTTGCATTTCGCGCAGTTCTCATTTTCCTATTCATTTCTTTCTCGCGCGTATAAATCTTTTTTTCGCGCATGAAAGATCCATTCTCTCAAATTCCGCGCTCTCATCTCATCTCTCTGCCCTCCTCAACTTTTTCTATCTCTCTTTCACAAATTCTTCCTCCGTCGAACTCTAACTCTACCTTTCCCACTCTCCTGCGCGTGGGCATCCCCACTACGAAAACGTGTCGAGGGTGTGTCTAGAAATAAGGTGCACGTACACCTGTCCACGCGCGCCTGTGTCCGCGAGAGGTCCCACGACTGACCGAACTTGAATGCGCCAACAGCATCAAGCCGATATCCGTGCATCGATTTTTCACGATCCTCGATTGCGAGGCATTTTCATACACTTGGAAGCAGCCTTTGTGAATGTGTTTGTAGCAATTTATTCGCAAAGGCGCTTTTGAGAACGGAGGTTTTATACACAAACATATTTCCCCGCGAGCTCAACAGAAAAACCGAGTTGCGAACCGAAACGCGTAATTCAGCGTGAATTGAATTATAGGATTTATTAATAATCGTATTTTGCGAATATATATATATAACGGCAAATAATCGAGTGCAAAAGAGCCAATGCGTTCGAACGTTGCTTCTCCGCACGCGATGAGAAGCAACAGATGCGTGGATTTGGATTAGAAATTGATTCGACACACTCATTATTCGGCCTTCGTATTTAAAAGCAATCAAGATTCGAGATCTCGTCGCGCGCACGTAGATAAATGCACAGATTAACGAGCTAATAAAAAAAAAAAAACCTGTTCTCATATCTGTTCGCGCAAAGACATACGATTTGTCGTGATAAAATTTTTACATTTGAAAATGTTTTCGGCTGAAATACAAAATAGCGTGAAAAAAAGCAGCAATAAGATGAACGAACAAACGCAAATGTATGTAAAAATATGATAATGCACGGTATATAATAAAAATTTCAAGTTTTACATTTTTTAAACTTGAGAAAAAAATGTTTCTTTTTTGTCTTTTACTAATCAGAAACAAAATCTGTTCGATTTTATTACTGCAGCAGTAATTAACGCAAGAGAAGCTTTCCTCCGATATATATATATATATATATGTGTCAACTATTCCTGTCGCGCTGTTAAAATGTGAAACGCGGTCTCAAATCAGAGACCGTCAAAGGAAATGAGTATACACATATGTAACGTATACTCGTACGTGTGCTCGTAGATTCCTGCAAATGTCGTTGTCGGATTAGACAATCTCTGGGAATTAATTTCCATGTATACGACGAATAAGTATAATAGTATCGTTACCGATCCTCGTTAGCGTATCCACGAATTTCCGGTGCTTCGCGAGTTGCGGTCCTTCTCGATTACATCCTTCTACGTTTGCGTGTATGTGCGGATGTGTGTGTGTGTGTGTGTGTGTTCTATACGCGTTTGCGATACACATAAGGCTTCATCCCGACAGACGTGATACGAAACGGTGTCGACACATGTCTGAAAATATGAGCACGTTATTATCATGTGATAATCCGCCAAAACTGGATGAATTCGAGACTCACTAAATAAATCGAATATCGTGCCGTTTTATCAGCGGATAACAATGTGAAACGAAGTAAGTATAAAGTATCTGTGGTGTCTAATCTACAAGAATCGTGCGACAGATAATGAAACGATTACGTAACCCAAGTCAATTTATCCGAGAAGTTTTTATCAACAAAAAGCCACCTGATTTGATATTACTTAATCCATCCATTTTGCCAAACACGCGTTGTCGCTTTTTTCTCCTCGTCAAACAATGCCGACAATAATTTACGATATTTGCTAACGATCGTTTTGAATTTTCCGTTAAGCGATACGTACTACGCCAACGATTGTAATATTTGAACCATTTTAATAAAATAATTTTTTTCATAAAATTTTATTTTATATATAAAAAAAAAAAAAAAGAAGAGAATTTTTCCAATTGCGAGTTTTTGCGAGAATTAATGGGATGAAAATCAATGAGAAATTAAATCGCAATAAAAATCTGTTCTTCCATCTGTAGTGACTTAGTACAATAAAACATTATCCAAACTCTACAACACATAAACACATAGCTTAATTTTAGCATTTGATAGCGTTCGCTTGACAGACTGGAAAATCCTGAGATTAGCCGAGCGCTTAAAAGATAATGCCTGATTCATCCGGTGCGTGGTAAATATTACCACGTAGCGGAGCTGTTTATTACGTGTTTATATATCACAAAATTTATTTCGTTACAATTTGAAATAATAACAAACGAACATACACACGCATGTAATTGTGTTTATATAAAATTGGATTGATTGTAAAATTTTTGATTAAAATTAAATTGTTTGCGTAAAACAGGATCTTTAAAGCTTTATTGTAATGCGGAATTATTTCATCTATACTTGCTGCGTGTATTAAAGCACACGTAGCTCTCGTTGTGCACGGTTTCGTGCGTATCTCGAGAAGCCGCGTGTGTAAATCTCCAGACAAATTCGCCTCGACAGACTAAGAATCTACTAGCGAAATTTCGTTCGGCGCGTTACAGCATTTTACACTCGCCAAATCCGATCACGTTATTTTGCGCGGATAGACGGTAACCGAACGCGTCATAAGCGCATCTTATCCCGTCGTCAGATCTTAATCCATTCTGATCCACCGTATGGTTTTTATAGATTTCGAACAACCAAACAAGTTTCGCTAATGTAATCTTCTGTGTGCCGCAAAATTTTGATAAGTTTGTCGAAATACATTCAATTTGCAACTTAAGGTTGCGGATCAGATATTGTTTTTACTGTCGCTCTGACACGCAATCGCGTTGTTTTAAATGTTGCAAATGCGAACGCGGAGTACCAGTCACTCGCGCGCATCAGTCTTTATTAGTAAAACTATCTGTTCTCAGAATTAAACGTATACTCAAACAAGATTCAACACCGTATATATCGTATTTAGCGCGTGAGTCATTCGTTCTTGCGACAACTTAACGTTCCAAGCTGACAGTTCTATTTCTCTAATACGCGCGACGCGCAGCGGCTGATTACAATATTGACGCCAAAAGTAAGAAGACATCGCCGAGACCAAGAGACACCAAATTTCTCATCGTCATCACCGAGCGATGCACTTTTCATTTTGCCGAAAGCGTTTCGAAGGCGTTGGATGTATATTCTTTCGTTACACCCGAATACACACGCGCGCGCGCGCATCCCGAGAAAGACAGAGAGAAAAGTGCGCGGGGGATGGAGACATGACAGTGGGGTAACGATTGCATCCGCGGATGCCTCCGATGCAATCTGTGTGCAAAGCGGTCTGAAGTTGCAACTCCTACGACGGACGGAGAACCGCGGGTGGGGTGCCGTCGCCGAACGACGCGAGGCGCGAAGGGAGTAATAAGAAGAACGGGAAACGGGGGGAGGAAGAAGGGGAAGTGAGAAAGGGTCAGGGGGGGGATCGTATCGCGGGTGGAAGGACGTGCGTCGTGTTTGAGGGAAGAGGGCGAGTGAAAGGGAGAGAGGGTTACGTTATCGGGCGCGGTGGTGGCCCTTGGCAAGGGTGGTTTGCCAGGGTCGACGAAGTGCGCCCGATGGCAAAGCTCTGCTTCCACGGGGCGTGCCACCGACGGAGCTTGCGGGCGGAGCTTGTGCGACACGCCTACTCTGACGGGACACAGGAGTAGCTTTCGCGTCGAACCACGAAGCCGGCGCGACGCTCGCTGTTTCAGGACCGCGTATCCCACCACCGCACAGGACAAACGTCTCTCGTCGAGATCTCTCTCTTTCCTTTCCGGAGCTTTTTCGAGGTAAGGACGTGAGCCTCGCCTTACGACGGCCACACGGACACCTCACCACTTTCGCACTGTACGCGTTTATCCGAAGTGTGGGAGGTTGAGTACGACGTAAAGGGGGAAGGAGGAGGAAGAGAGCGAGAAGGGAGGAAACGGCCGAGGCGGGCTGGCTCGCTGTGAGAAAAGCTGGGTTTTCTCTCCGAGAGGGGCGATAAAGGAGCGGAACGAGAGGGAGGACTAAGAAGCGCACGGGAGAGGGACAACTAAGGCTAGAGTAACGTATGCCCGGAGCTAATTTGCCGGAGCTTACCCGGGGAAATTACGAGCATCCCACGCGATGCATCCGAATATCCTCGTCGTCCAATAGACGACGGTTCCGATGTCCGCTTAGAATTAAAGGAAGCACGCCCGCGGAAGCTTGAAAGTGCAACTACGTGATTCCCGA